CCTGCCCAGTATCAATATTTTAATGCTATAGCTTTGAGAGACATCACTGTGAGCCCAGTTCGTGTTTTCTCATTCAGCAATTTTTTTTTCTTGAGGTGACGTTTCCCATGTTCCTGCAGTCTTGGGCATTGACACACTGGGGCAGGTCCAGATGGTTTTCACTGGAACACACATCTGCCTTCATGATTAGAATTCACCTACAGAAATCAGTTTTATAGGCATGCTGGGAGGAATCCCTCTGTCCCAGGGAAAACAGCCAGCCCCCGTATTGCACATGACAGAGTGAGGCACAACCACACCCAGGCGCTGTGCTGGTGGGGGGGGACTTGGCCAGCAGGTAGGTATCAGGTCCTGGGTGGGGTGGGATACTGAGCTGGTCCCCAAAGGAGCTTCTAGTCCCAGGTCCTCTGTCATTTGGTGGGCTGCTGGTGGCTGTGACTTAAACATAGTCTCAGACCCACCTAACGAAGTCTGGAGGAAGTTGTGCCTCCCTTAGTGTGGATGGAGAAGAGTAGTTTCCCAAATTCCAGGGGAAAGCTGCCGCATTCCCCCCTCAATCCAGTGTTTGTACAGGGACTGGGACTTACCTGGGAGAAGAGACCACGGGGCTGGCATTTCCCCTCTTGACAGTGGATAGGTGTGACCTGCGTCTCCATGGATTTCCTCCCCTATGTGACCTGGGAGAGGAGACTGGAAACAACCTAATGTCCAGCCACAAGGAACATGGCAGCCCCCACAAATCTCTCAGTGTCCGTGGGGGCTGTAAAATGGGTTTAATGTCCTCGGAGATGTTCACAGTAAGTGGAGGAAAGGAGGATACAATTCAGATGTTGGCTGTTTTGGTTTTTTTTTTCCCCCAAGGTACATAATGTATATTTTTTTAAAAGTCTGAGGAAGAAATTCACCCAGATAGAAGCAGGAGCTCACAGTGCAGTCAGCGTCCGGGTTTTAGACTTGTCCCCGTTGTGGTTTTCTGTATCTTCCAAATTTTCATCCACAAACAAGTACAGCTTTTACAATGAAAATGTTCCAACTCCACTTCATTGAGGCACAACTTAAAATGCGCCCTAATTTTAAGGGTACCATTCACTGAGTTTTGACCAATGTCATTGTCCGTTATTCAGCACCTCAATCAAGAAAAGGGGCATTCCCACCAACTCAGAAAGCTTCCCCAGCCCCATCTTCCGCCTCAGGCAACTACTGATGGAGCTTTTTGTCCCTATAGACTAGGTTTGTCTTTTTTTTTTTTTTTTTTTTAGGGTTGCAACTACGTTTTAAAATAAGTACTAAACATGGCAAAGAGAGCCAGAGTAGTCTCTAAGTAAATAATAACTACCCCTCCTATTATGTGCCCACATATGCCAGGCTGTCTCTGTGTAAACATTTCTCTCTCCATCGATGGAGTTACCTTTGCTAATTCTCCCATTAACTCATCTGGAGGTTAAAAGCATGACTTCTGCTGTCTTACAAATAAAGAGGCTGAGAAAAGTCTTCCCTTTTCTGCTCTATATGGTCTCTGCCAATTTCTGGGCTACCACGGTGCTGCTTTTTTAGAATAATGATCCTAGAAGGGGGAAAACGGATTTTGATGACACAGAATGCCTTGGGGGAAATGATGCAGGTTCTAGCAGATTCTAGCAGAAGTCCTGGACTGACTCAGGCATGCCCGAGTTCCATTCTGGGCTCGGTCAGAAACCAGTGGCTTCCCCAACCCAAGTATTCACCGTCCTTTCTGTCCCAGGCTCGTTTTGGCAGTTTTTACTTTTTGATGAAGATTTTTACCAGCATCCAGAAGTTTCTGTAATGACAAAGGACTTCTCAACTGTGAGGCGGGGGCGGGGGATCTGGGATGGGCGTGAGGAGGTGCTTCTGTACTTAGGAAGGCATGTTTGACATTGTAACGTAAATTTCTAGCCGTAAAGTGAAAAGAAAAACAACTACTTTCGTAATGCGGAAGACTGGAAGTGAACGGGAACCAGATTTTCTTGGGTGCTGGGAGGTGGGTCTAGAAACAATGAAAATCCCTTAGTGTGGCTCTCATTTGCCACATCAGGACTGACTCAGACAAGCTTGGGTTGAGAGAGGGTGACCCCGGGAAAATAAAATCCAGAGCCAAGCTGCCAAGCAAGGTCTTTCTGGTCACCTGGGCCTGTGACCCCTGGGGGTGCTGAGCGGGGCATCGGGGGTGACGTGCAGTCTGGCTCCAATCGCCCCTCCACACCGGGGTAGGCCACCTGGGTCGGTCACCACCAGAAGAATCCCGGTCATCCCCCACCCCCCCCCCCCCCCCCCCCCCCCGCCCCCGTACGGTGGCTGCAGGGGTGGGAGTTTGCACTGGGTTCCTCCTTCTGGGCAAGCTTACCTGGAGCCTTAACCACAGCGCCCCCTGCTGGCCAGCGCCACCTTTCCTCGGCCCCTCTGTAGTCTTCGTCCAGCACAGAGACCCATGGTACCAGCAGATCTGCCCAGGCCCCCAGCTCAGGTGAGCTGGGTGCAAACACTTGCGGCTTATCTGGACAGCTCTGTACGCATCTGTTTCCTGATCTGCAGCATGGATTAATCACCCAGACTTTCAGAGCACCCTGCGACTACGAAGTGCGTAGTACCCGGGTGGGTGACGCTTAGTGGATGGCCGTCGCTCTTCATGAACCGTATCTGGGACCTCATGTCCGCTCTCCCATGTGACCCCAGGACAAGGCTCAAAACAGGAATGAGGATGCAACAGGCCCAGCAGGTCCACGACCTGCACAGGCGTTGGCCAGGCATGGATCTGTGGCAGAGGGACTCCGACCACAGAGCCTGCACCCCTGCTTGGTGGCCACACCACCTCTCAGAGCGGAGGCACGGCCTGGATTTACAAGCTTGATGGCCTAGGTTCCGATGTTCTGGTCACCACTTGCAGGCTGGGTCCCACTGTGCTGGGGCCCTTGTTTCCTATCTATTCAAGGAGGCAGGGGACAGAACCCCCATGGAGGTTCTTATAGGGGTTTAAGCTGAGAACACCCATGATGTGCTCAGAACAGGGCCTGGGCATAGGAAGCTGCTGCCGCCTTTACCACCTTCCAGAGCTGGGTGATCACAGTGGACGCTCTCCTCCCACTGTGGTCATGGGAGGGGTAGCAAAAGAGCAGGGGTGGGGCCAGAGGCCGGTGTTCCCCACCCCCAGACCCATTCCGGTGGGTCCCCCAAGGCAGCTCCTGCCATCCTCCTCAGTGCCCCACATTTATCCAGGATCTTTAAAATGAAAGCTGCAGGGGAGGGTAATTAAGTTTAATAGGAGCCCTGTCGATTTAAAGCCACAGGGGGGAAGTAATTAGATTTAACAGAAGCGGTGGCTTTCTGAACCGAGACACACAGCGTGGGGGTCCTGGTCTATAAAGGCTTTGAGATTATGTCTTTCTGTAAAGCCTTTCCTGGTGACATTTTCTGCACGCTCGGTCATTAACGCCAGTCACGGACTCGGGTATGAACATGGCCTTTACTCATTGAAATTCATTAGGCCTGGCACTGATTTCTCTCTCTGTGTCTGGACTGCTTGCCCGCCCATCGCCTTTGCGCTGAGACAGCATGACTTTCCCCCAGAACTGGCCTCCTGGGGCCCCACACCCAGGAGTTCGGGGGGTTGGAGAAGAAATGAGAAAGAATCAGGGTCCAGCCGAAGGTCCCTGGGAGGATCCTCTCCTTCCCAGGGGGCATTGTCTGGATGCTTTTCCCCCTTTTCTGAACATCACCAGAGAAAGTCTGGTTTGCGGGACCCACTTCACCAAGTGGCCCCAGTTTCCCGGCCTGGCGCCGTCCCCCGCCCAGCAGCGCCCCTCACTGCCGCTCTGGCCCTCCCCGACCTCTCCTCCCGCAGTCTCCCAGGACATCGCGCCCTGGCCCGGGAAAAGAGCTCAGGGACCCAGGGACCGGACCAACGACAAAAGGCACTCAGAGAGGGGGCTCCCTGCGCTGCGTGGCTCGAGCTGGGAAGCCAGAGCTTCCCCGCGTGCAGAAGCAAGCCCGCCTCGCCCCCGCGAAAGGCGCCTGCAGGGTGACCGCCAGTCCGGGCTCCGGCTCCGGCTCCGGCCCCGGCCCCGCCGCGCGCTCTGGCCGGCACCGAGGCCGAAACCGGGGCGGAAGCGCCATCTAGCGCCCGCCGTGCGCCACTCCTCCATTGTTCCTCCCGGGCCTCGAGCCCGGCCCCCCGTCGGGGGGCAATGGATGGGGGTAAAAGGGGCGGGAGGGGGGCCGGGATCGCGAGAACATAAGACCAGGAAAACGTGAGCTAGTCCGAGCGGCAGGGGGAAATTCTAATGGACGGCTTGGCATCTGGAGATATGACGGTTAGGGCCGTCGTGGGAGGGAGCGGATGCGGGCTTTTAAGGGGAGGGCGCCCCAAAGCCAAGGCGAAGCTTCTCCGTATAGGGGGTGAGGGATGCAAAGGTCGGTGCCCGGTTCTCTGGTCACGGGGTTCCTGCTCCCTGCCCCTGCTAGCGCCTCGCCACCAGCGCATTCCCTGGGGGGGCCGGGGGCGGGGGGGCGGGGACCGGTTGTCTCCTTTATTGCTTTATAAAATCAGACTCTCCCAGCCAAGGAGACCTGGTCCCGGGCCCCTGCGCTGCTGGGGGGAACTTCCCCGAACCCTCCGGTGAAACGGGGCCTCTCCTCCCCCAGATCTGGGAGGCCTGGGCGGGGTCACCCGGGCGGGGTCCGGGGAGGGGCTGGGGCGGGAGGCGGAGTGTGAGTGGGTGTGTGCGGGGGGCGGAGGGCTGATGCAATCCTGATAAGAAATGCTCGGGTGTCGCGGGCACCCACCCGCCGCGAGGGTAAGACGTGCTATATAAGGCCGCTGGCCTCGAGCCGTCGTGCCGTCGGAGCAGGACCGCTGAGCGCCCAGGCGCCCGGAGGGCACTGCTGGCTGGAGGGACCCACCCCGCCGCTGCACCCGCATTCCTGCTGCCGCCCAGCCTCCCGCACCCTCGCCGCCTGAACTGCGTGCCGAGCCCGAGGGAGGTGCCATGCGGAGCGCGCCGAGTCGGTGCGCGGTAGCCCGCGCGCTGGTCCTAGCCGGCCTTTGGCTGGCCGCAGCCGGGCGACCCCTAGCCTTCTCGGACGCCGGGCCGCACGTGCACTACGGCTGGGGTGAGCCCATCCGCCTACGGCACCTGTACACCGCCGGCCCCCACGGCCTCTCCAGCTGCTTCCTGCGCATCCGTGCCGACGGCGGGGTTGACTGCGCGCGGGGCCAGAGCGCGCACAGTGAGTGCCCACTCGCCCCGGTGTCCCTTCCCTTTCCCTCTTTCGGGAAGCCCACGTTTTGGCCCCACTGCGTTCTGCTCCCTGCCCGCGGCCCCTGACAGCGCGGGGAGCTGAGAGAGGGGGTTGCCGGCACGTGGACCCACTGCACCCACGCCTTATCGTTCGCTTGCCCCCTTCAGTTCCCGCGAACCCCCCACTCCCAGGAACTCCAGATCTTGGCACTTGGGAGTCCCAGTCCCTCCCCAGGGTCCTAGGCAGCACGAGAAGACAGGGGAGTGGGGGAGGGCCTGGGCCTGCGCGCCCACCGCATCCACGTGTTGGGGGCCCCGTGAGTCCCGGCTGCAGCCTTCTGCTTCTCTGGCGCCCAGGTTTGGTGGAGATCCGGGCAGTCGCTCTGCGGACGGTGGCCATCAAGGGCGTGTACAGCGACCGCTATCTCTGCATGGGTGCGGACGGCAGGATGCAAGGGCTGGTAGGTGTCTCCGCCGGGGGATACGTACGCCTGTCCCCAGGCGGGGCCCCGCAGGGGAGCTGGGCGTGCTGGATCGAATCCAGGCTCTCCTCGCATTCTGCCCCGGGTCCGGCATGGGGCTCGGAAGGGAGGACGGCAAAGGGCCAGATTAAGCTGATGTGCGAATTTTTTTCTACGCAAGTTTACGGGGAGTCCTCTGGCTGGTAGCCAGAGAATGGGTGAGAGCTGCCTTTGCATCTCCAGCGGTGCCGAAGGCCGGCCCAGTGGGACAGAGGAAGCGCTGTACTCGGCTTCCTTTGACATTAAACAGTGAAACCCACCTCGGGCCTTTTCAGTCTGGGCGTGCGCGTGTGTGGTCCTCGCCCCCGTTTCCCTCCCTGCCGTATAAAGTAAAAGGAAGGCACGAGAAAGGATATTCACAACTTGGATCATTTTTAAAAAGCCAGCCTTCAAACAAGTCAGGAAAAATTACATGTGGGACTTTTTTCTTCTTCTTCTTCTTAATGTATATTTACTGGAAAAGCAGTGTGGTTTTTGCTGACGAGTTGGAAGAATACTCCGGGGGCGTGTTCGTCCTTGTGTCGCGCTCACCTGTACTGTAGATGCTTTGGGGGGAGGGGGTGGGGGGGGCGGGCTGGGAAGGCCCAGGTAACCATCGAGGTCTCGGGGAAGGAAGTGCGCGGATATCGGGTCTCGGTCTCTGGGAACAAAGACTGGGAGTTCAAAGGGAGCCCGCGCCCCTCCCGCGCCCCCGGGCGCACAGAAGAGGCTGTGTGAGGTCCCGGCCCCCGCGCAGGGGCCTCAATGCAGCCCCGCTGGGTCGGGGGCGCGGCAGGAGGAGCCGGGCGGGCGGGGGGGATGGGGCGGGGCGGGGGGAGACCGCGCCTCCCGGGATGCCCCCACCCCCCAGAAAAGATGCAGATGCCGGTCCTCCCCCCCCCCCTGCAGCGCGCATCTTTTTAGTGTCCCAGTTGTTTTGTGTCTCTGGGGCCGGTTTAGCGCATTTATCCAGAGGGGTCTGTTTCAGGTTTTATGGCGGAGTCCCGCGTGAAAGGACCAGAACGGAGGGAAAGAAAGGAGGTGGTCGGCTTGCTGAAAGCTGACACCCAAGGCCGCCCCAAACCCGCAGTTGCAACTTTTGTTGTGACATTTACTTGGGGCGGAGGGAAGGAAGGTCTGGAGGACCCGCCAGCGGAGATGGGTCCAATCCAGCATTCTAGTCCAGATTTTGGGGTGGAGGGGTGTCCCTTCCCCTAAAATCCTGCTTTGCTTCCTGATCCCTTGGGTATGGCTTAGCCAAGACGGAGGGGTTTTTTGTTTTGTTTTGCTTTGTTTTTTGTTTTTTGTTTTTTTTTTTTTAAATAAATTCCACTTTTTCCGAGCAACTGGATGGAAACCAGTTGCTTTCCTGTTTGGAGAAGAGAATGGGGGTGCTAGTTTGTCCCAAAGGACCGGGAGAGTGAGATGTGCCACCGTTTGCTTTCTCTTCCCTTGTGTGTTTATGGGTTTGCATTTCCCCCGCTGTCTGGTGGCCGTGTCCCCATGTCGGGAGCAGGGCTGGCCCTTGCTTCCTGAGACCTGAGCCTTATCAGAGCCTTATCAGCACAGCGCTCACCCACCTGCAGTTCAGCGACCTTTGTAGGCTTGGGCACAAATGCGACTGGGTGCCTCCTGGGGTTGTTTACCGCCCAGCCCTCCCTGGCTCCCTGCCCTCTGTGTCCCCCACAGGGTAATGACCTCCCTCCATTTGGCACAGGACTTGGCCCACAGGTACCTGTCCGGCTACCAGCGTTTTGGGACCCCAGGGGCTGCTTTTCCGCCCTTCGGTTTGCATTTCCCGCCACCCCGCTGGGTGCAGGCTCTGTCCTGGGCCTGGGGGGAGGGGCCGGCTTTATCTTGATAATCCTGGCAAGTTGCCCGGAAGGCTCTGGGCCCTAGAAGGAAGGACCCCGTGGGGGCCTAGGTTGCCTATATGGGCACCAGAAAAAAGGCCTCAGAATGGCCCACCACTCACTGAACGCAGGTCTGAATGGGGAATAGGTGCTTTAATCTGGTTCCCAGATGGGATCGGAGAGCCTACCTAGTTCAGCGGGGTCTCCCCAAGTGTCGGTGGCTGCCAGGGACGCAGACACTTGTGTTGCATGGCTGATTTTATGCCTCTGTTGCTCAGAACACTACTAAATTGAAGAAGAGGCGTGATTTAGGGAGAGAGAGAGGAAAGATACACAGATAATCTGTATATACAGATACTGGGCCCATACGTAAACCACACGTGAATTACACACCTGAACTTCGTGCATGTGTACAAAGGTTATAAAGGTATATAAAGCAAGTTTATAAAGTTTACGTAAAGTTTTATATAAAGTTTATAAAGCAGTACAAGTTTATATTGGAGTATATTTAATATGTCATACTTCACGTTTCATATGATAATTTATCGTGTTTATATCCATATAGGCTTGGTGTGTGTATTAATGTAATGCATACTTTCTATAAGCATGAATTTACACACATAAGCACGTACTTTAAGTGTAACTACACACACGCATTTGTAGGACCGATCACGTGGACCCACATGGGAGTCTGTAGCTCAGATGGTCCCCTGTGCCCAGCCTCCCTGCTGCTTCTGGTGATGTCACCCCACGGGGCTCCCACTGGTACTCACGGCCCTCCCCTTTTCTCCCTAGGCTCAGTACTCCGCCGGAGACTGTGCTTTCGAGGAAGAGATCCGCCCCGACGGCTACAACGTGTACCGGTCCAAGAAGCACCGTCTCCCCGTCTCCCTGAGCAGTGCGAAACAAAGGCAGCTGTACAAGGACCGGGGCTTTCTGCCCTTGTCCCATTTCTTGCCCATGCTGCCCGGGAGCCTGGCAGAGCCCAGGGACCTCCAGGACCATGTGGAGGCTGATGGGTTTTCTACCCCCCTAGAAACAGACAGCATGGACCCTTTTGGGATTGCCACCAAAATGGGACTAGTGAAGAGTCCCAGCTTCCAAAAATGAGTGGGGCTGTGGCCTCCCCCTGCGCCCACACCACCCTTAGAGGCCAGGACTGTGGCAGACCTGTGGCGCTTGCAAAGCGGGTTCTGGCCGTGCTTCTATAAGTACAATCCTGGGCTCGTGCTCCAGTTAGCTTTAGGAAGAAACATCTAGAACTTGTACATACACAGAGTCGGACATTGGCTGTCCCAGTTCCTAGCGGATAGACTTGTATGCTTGTGAAATCATAAGCCCCCACCCTGCTCCTTTGCCGTTGCTGGACAGTTGCTGTGCTGCCCTGATCCTGCTTGAATACCTCCACTGACCGGGAGCTCACCTTTGGGAAGATTGTTAGGCCAAGCTGAAGTGTTCTACGGGTCTCTCTCCCATCATTTCCATCAGGGGCAGCCAGAAGAAAAGTGGTCAGTTTAAACTCACGTACAGGCGATCAGCTTTGTGAAACCCTAGGTAAATTCAACTCTACCACAGGAGAACTGATCGAGCTCTCCACTGCAGAGAGCAGCACTGGCTCTCCCCTAACCCTTCCAGGACAGAATTGACCTGGCACAGGCATGGCCAACCAGGCTTCGGGAGCAAGGGGAGCCCAGAAGCCTTCTCCAGCCTGGGTAACCCTTAAGAACTCCCCACTACGGCTGCTTCTGGGAGGGATAACCTTCACCGGACTACTTGAAAGTCTGCCCAGGGCACATCGGGGAATTCACTTGCCCCTCCCCTTGACCTTCAGCACCCTGCACATAGCCCTAACACTTGCAGGGCTCGGTCTGGTCCCCTGAGTGAACGACCACCTGCTCGGAGGGACAGGACACAAGGACAAACGCAGCAGCCCTCCTTCCCTGGGATCCCATCAGCTCTGGGCATGTGGGTTTCCCACAAGCGCCCCTCTGGACAGAGCCCCATGGGCCTCTGCCCCTGGCGTGCTCCCTCCTTCCTCTGCAGCCGTGGATACGGACCAGAGAGGAGCAGACACAGCCTGTGGGGCTGTTTCCCCATTGCCAGTCTTCTTGCCAGGTGGTGGGACTTGGCAGCCTTACCCCTTAGGGAGACCTGCACATCCCGTTCAGAAGCCGGGAGAGGTTGGGTTTGGAAGCCCCCGGTCTTGCCAGTAACTTGCAGAAGCAGCGGGGAGAGGGGCCCTTCCCCAGCACTTAGTTGCCAACGTGGTATTTATGCGTAATTTATTTTGTTTGATATGTACATCTATTTTCTTACTTTATTTATACCCCCATGTTGTATTTATGATGTACATGAGCTTTGTTTTCTACATTAAAGCACAATTTGTACCAAAAGTCGCCTTTCCTTATCCAGCTGGGATGCCTGCGAGGGAGAGCGGGAAGGGAAGGGGGGAGGGAAGGGAAGCAGAGCCTGGCATGGAGCTCAGAGGAGAGGCTGATGTGTTTGCTGTGTTTAAAACCACACTTTCTACAGAAGCTCCTGGTCATCGAAGCCTCCCTGGAGGCCGGGGTTCAGGTGGGTCAAATACTAGGTTAGGTTAACCCAGCAGTGGAGGCTGCGCGGGCCTGGGTGCCGGCTTCCTCGGCTCCGCTAGGATCTGCGTGGTGGGGGCGGGGGCGGGGTGGGCGTTGCAGGTGTTGCCGAGGGAGCTGGGATGATGAACAGTGACCCCCCTGCTCCGTCCACTAGACGCCAGTGGTAACCAGTGGTCATGACTACTAAAAATCGTGAAGAAGTTGCTGCGCTTCTTAGGACAAAATTGCCTTGCCAGCCGTTCGTTCTGGAGGAAATCATCGACCTCTCGAGCCTCCGTGTCCTCACCTGTAAAATGGGGGCAGGATGGAGAGGGCGGTGAGGCGTGGAGCCACCGCTCTGTACCTGGTGCGGGCAAGGGTCCAGTTCACCCCTCGGCTGGGAGTTACTGGGTGCTCAGGTTGGCTGGTAGTCCACCAAAGATCAAAGTTAGTCTCCCGAGGCCGTTTTGTGAGGTGCCTCCCACGCCCCCCCCCACAAGGACTCCCCACTCTATACGGCACGCACCCCCACTGCTGCAGACATGCCCAGAGCTGACCCCTCCCCCCTACTCCCGCCCCAGGTGGCAGTGCGGGGTGAGTGACACGTGCTGACTGGCGTCCTCTAGCCCTTGCCCAGGTGAGGGACTCCAGGACCGCAGAGGGAAGGCACGTACCCCAAGGTGCGTAGCGCGGAAGCAGTATGGCGGGAGGGCTGTGGGGTCAGGCAGTGGATCCCCCCACGCCTGTTAACTGTGCTGCCTTGAGTAAGGTGAGTCACTCTGTGAGTCTGTGTCCTTGTGCGGATGGTGAGCTGAACAAGGTATGCACTGAGCGACTGTGGGGAGAGTCGCATGGAATTCTGTCTGCCAGATGGTTGGGACCGAGTAGGCTCCCAGAAGGCAGCCCTCACCAGCACTAGAACTTGTGGCTGGGAATAGTTATTTCCACTGGTTCTTATATTTGGTTGCACGGTGGAGTCACCTAGGGAAAAATCCGGTCCCAGGAGATGGGGTCTAATTGGACTGGATGCGGTCTGGACATCTAAGATTTTGTGACACTCCCCAGTGACTCACACGTGGAGCCCAGGTCGACAGCCACGGGACGCCTGTTTACATGTGATCTTCTGTGCCCTGGAGACAAACACTTCAGGGGAAAATGAAGTGGAGTGTCCTCCCCATAGCACAGCCCATAGTAATGAGTAGATGCACATCTTTGTGAACTAATTCACACTAGAGTGTTGATGGTTAATACTTTTTCACTCTAGGTCACATTTTCGTTTGACCTGGCAGCCAAAAAGCTGGGATGGCCGTTTCTGTGGCTGACGTGGGTCCTCTGGCAGGAGATGGGGAAGAGTCTTCAAGGCTGGACCTTGCATTCACCCCATTGACTGGCCTCTACTCCTCACAGGAAGGTGGGCTTGCCCTCTTGCTGGATCTCCCCCCGCGCCTTCGAAGGTTGTCAAGTCTAGCAAATAGAAACACGACAGCCCCGTTACATTAGAATTTAGGAGAAGCAGCACACTTTTTAGTAGAAGTATATCCCATGAAATATGAGATATACTTATGCTCAGAAATTATTTATTATTCATCTGAACGTCAGACTTAACCGGGTGTCCTCTATTTTGTCTGGCTTTAGATCCACAGCACCAACGTGGGGTCAAATAAGGAGAAAGTACCAGGGGCAGGAAGTGACTCATTTGGTTAAGCCTGTCCAGGGGAGAGGTCCCAGAAGCAAAATGCAGAAGAATTCTTTCTTTGGGCTCTTTCTCCACCTGTGACTGAGAATCCTTACACTGCCTCAAGACTGTTACCCTGTGTGTGGGGGTGGGAGTGTGGGGGGATTGGTTCACCTTCTTACAAGGCCAGGTGTGCCTGGCTTCGGGCATGCTGTGGGGCTGGGGGTGGCGGGACAGCCCCAGTGTCTCTCTTTGCATCTTCTCCCCTCGAAATGACACATGGTCCCCAGCAGCTGCGGCTTCTCTTCCATCCTCTTGCAGCCTTGGCGGGGGCGGCAGACGGTCCTTTCCCACCAACAGCTCCTACAGGTGTCCCAGAACCCTTCTCCTGCCTCGAGTTAATTCTCCACCGGATCTGCGCAGCCAGGGGCCGAGTTGCTCTGATTGGCCAGCCTGGGGTCACCCCCTCCATTCTGGCAGGAGTCAGCCCAGGGAAGCTCAGGGGTTGAGAGCAAGGGTGCTTCCCCAGAGGAAAGCCCCAAGGGACAGAATTCTCCCGAAATGCCTACGTCTGTGGATTCACCATCCAGTGTGCTAAACTGGGCGAGTTTCCCTCCTCTGGATCAGGAAACGCTACCTGGAAATGATCCAAAAGATGGAAAAGTAGAAGGGGGTGGTGGGCACAAGGCCTCCCTGGACCCAGAAACTGGTCATCCATTTACAGAGGGCAGGAGAGCCGTGGCCGCTGCCTGGGGTTCAGGGCACCGTCAAGGTGATGGGAAGGGAGTCTCAGCTGGGGATGGGGAGAGGAGAGAAGGGGAATCTTTTGCAACTGGGAACAGAGGGAGAAAGACGGAGAGACAGACAGCTATATTAAACATCCCATCACATAGGACAATTTTGCCTCAACGGTCAAATATGACTTTAAAACGCTCATGAGAAGGGTCGTCTAACAGATTTGCCCTGGGTTTTCCCAGTCCGGTGCTGTTCGTTCCTTCCCAAGGTTCCAAGCCCTTTTCTGTTGTAATTTCTTCCTCTTCGGAGAACTTTGGTTCCCATTCTTGAGAGGCAGGGTGGCGGCAACACATTCTCCTCGCTCTCCCTCCACCTGAGAATAGCTGTTTCTCCTTCCTTCGGGCGGGTCTGGTCTGCGGACGGAGACAGAGTTCAACCGCTTTCTCCTTCCTCTTCCCTCCCTTCATCCCCCAGCACCCCAGAACATGACCATCTTTGGAGATGGGGCCTTTCAAGGGGTGATGAAGGTACCATGAGTTCACCAGGATGCATGTCCTCTTAAGAAGGGAGGAAGGACCGGGACACCCAGAGAAGACCCATCTGCTACAAGCCAAGGAGAAAGGCCTCCCTCCGGGGCAGCCAGACTGCGGACTTCCAGCCTCTGGACCTGAGACGACAGATGTGTGTTGGGACTTCAGGCACGGCCTCTCAGCAAACTCTCGTCTGTCTCCAGATGGTCTGCTGGTGACGAGAAGAGAGAGTTTGAGCCTGCACCCCCTTGGGCTCATGGAAGGCTGTGGAAAGAGTGGGTGCCCTGCCTGGTTTGCTGGCAGGAGAGTTGCAAGTCCCCAGGGGGCCGTAAGTGCCCTGGGGAGCTGGCTCCGTGTCCCTGTCTCCCGGAGGGCTCTGTTCGCTGGCGGGGCAGGGGCGGGGGGCACCCCGGCGAGGCAGGCTCCTTCTGGCCAGATGGAGAAGATGGGCTTCATTCCGCAGGCCACGGGGGTCATGGGGGTTACCCAGCACAGGGATGCAGGTCGCTGGGAAGCTCCATCTGCCATGGGGTGTAGCATGGAATGGGAGACACATCGCCGAAGTCCCCCAGGCCACGTGGGTGGGGTGCACTTCCT